GTGTCCGGGGTTGCAGGGTAAGCACAATGAGTCACCGCGACCTCGGCCCAGAGCAAGAGATCGAACGGGAGGGTTTTTAGGCAGTAAGAGTCTAGCACTAAGACTGGAGAAGTCATTTGATGATTTTCCCCTCACAAAAAAGGGTGTAATGATGAAACTGAAAGATGGCTAAAAACTCAGTAATTAAATAACAGAATCCCTTCGAGTATGGGCTTGTATGATTTCTCCTGACGAATGCTTTTGGTAATAAATAGAAATGTAGAATGGAATGGCTTTGATGGATGATTTAAGTGTGGGAGAGCCATGCTTAGGCACGAATGGGTCGGCTTGACCGGAGTGATACCACGGCCTCACAGAAAACCGGCGTGATACAACCACAGCGTTGTGTTTCGCCATGTGAGTGAGGTTACCGGAGGCCCAATCTCCAAATCCCTAATGACTAAAAGGTCGGCAACGCACTCGTAACTCCTCCGTTGCGGGTGTCCATGGGCGGCGTTGATTGTTTACCATCAAGTAATCCGTCTGCTCGTTTACCGACCTATTACATAAAAAAAAATGATAAAACAAGAAGATGAACATAGAAACTCAGTAATTTGACAACAGATTTGATCAAAGTTATCGGGAATATTTCCTCTTGACTTGAGTATTTTGGTTTCATAGATGGTAACGATTTCTGACAAAGAGGTTAAGGTTAAGTATGTACGGCCTCGTATTAATTAAATGATTAAACAATTAGTAAAAAAGCTTCTTTTGCATATATGTAATATATGTACTTGTTAATAAATGTGATGGTGGAACTGGACTTTAAGTTTTTTGCAATGAACTGACAAACCTTCGACAAGTTTTATTAATTTACTGTGAATTATCTCATAGAAAGCTGGTGTAAAACAAAGACTTGATAAATACTTGATGAAACGTTAGCAGCATTGTCAAAGATTGAGAACTCAAAGTAATACTTATTTTTATTAACGATGTGTGTTATTGAAAGGTTTGCCTTCAAAACAGGACAGATACTATATACTTCTAATGATAATGATGACGCTGGAAAATGACATAGGATCTTAGTGATTAAGTGACATAGAGAGACTATGGGAATCTCCTAAACCAATAGGTTTGCAGTCCTGAAGACGTTGTTGGGATCTGGACATGCAAAAAAGTTATATTTATACATACACTAATTAAGTAAAAAACATGGAATAATACTTAGACAATGAATATTTTATTTTATTAAAAAAATACAGTAAGTAAACAATTTGTTAGATTAAAGTTTAACAACAGCCTTCCCAATATTGTCCCCTTTCAATACACCTATTAAGGCGTCAAAGAGATTTTCAAATCCTTCCGTAACATGTTCTTTGATGACTATCTTTCCACTCTGTATCCACTTAATGATTTGATCAAATGCTTCAGGGAATCGGTCACGCGAATCCCATACAATATAACCGCTGATTTTTAGTCTACGGTACAATACGGCAGGTTGAAAAATTGTGGCTTTGGGCAAATTGGTTTGATCCTCGTTGTACGAGCTGATGGAACCGACGACTACGACTCGTCCATGTTGATTCATCTGGTACAAGATAGTGCTGCTCAGCTCTCCACCGACGTTGTCGTAGTAACAGTCCACTCCCTGCGGAGCAGCTTCTCTCAGTGCAGCCGCGTTGTCGGCAGTCTTGTAGTTGATCGCCTTGTCAAAGCCGATGCTCTCCAGCCACTTGACTTTCTCGTCGGAGCCAGCGAAGCCGATTACCTTGCAGCCCTTTATCTTTGCGATCTGTCCGACCAGAGAGCCCACAGCTCCAGCAGCACCCGTCACAACAACTGTCTCACCAGCTTTAGGTTTGCAATGTTCTAGGAATCCAAAGTATGCTGTTGCACCTGGCATGCCTACAGCACCTACAGCCAGGGAGTCTGGTAGGCCTTCCATGATAGGTAGTTTGTAAATTTTGCCAGTGCGGTGAGTTTCATTGTAAACTTTGTTAGTATCCAGAATGCAGTAGTCACACCAGCCCTTGTGGGACACAACTTTGGACCCAACCGGGTAATCAGTGGCTTTTGATTCTACCACTACACCAACATTGTAACCGAATTGGTCGTACTTATGTTTCCGACTATAGATACGCATGTATGGGTCGACGCTCAGCCACTGACTTTTCACAAGAATCTCTCCATCCTTGAGGGGCGGTAACTCGTGCTCCTCAATTTGGAAATCTTCACGTTTGGGCCAGCCCTTGAACTCGTTAACCACGACGTATTTTCGTGCTTTCACCATTATGTCTTCACGATGCCAATTGATTTCAATGACTGGAGGCGAAGTATTTATCTGTTCACTTCAAGTGTTATCTTGTCATGATATTACTAAATTAATTGCTGTCTTACAGGAAGGATAAAGGTAGTCAGCATTATTAAACAAAATTTTGAATCATCTATATAAAAAAATTAACAACAATTTTATTACATGTTCGAGGCTACAAACCTAAACTTTTACAGTGTTGTGTTTAGTGGCTTGTAGTTTTGATAACTTTGTGGCTAACGTTTTAGTGATCAGATATTTTTTCCACGTGCTTACTTTCCTTATCAGCCACGGCGGTTTTAGGAGGTGCTTGATCTTCGAACATCGAAAGCGCAGGTCTGCAGTTGGCAAGAAAAAAAATGAAAAGATATACAAAAGCTGGTGTGATTTAATAGGACCACTACAGATTTAATTTGCACTTGTGTGAGAAACACATTATTTTTACATTATCTGGACTGATAGATTGACCTTTAACGTTTGATGGCCTCTCGCCATCAAACGTTAAAGTTTGGCGAGTTTAGATGATAAGGACACTTTTCTGTAACTTTACTGTATAAATTATTAAAAAAAACGAAATAAAAGAAAGAACCTCTGAGTTTGTTTCGGCATATCTTCTCAGATTAGTCAGATAAAAAATACAGGCATCATCTAAATTTTTTGATAAACATTTAATATTGACTTGTAAAAGTCCTATTTCTTATACCTTATTTATAAAAAATATATTTATGTTTATTTAAGACCAGAGATTGTTGTATTAGTAAAAACTTAATCTTATTCCCCCATGGGTAGAGAGTGGATTTATGTACATAATAAACATACTTAATAGAAAAAGCGACCTTAAAGCCACATATGAAAATTCGGTTGGAAAAAACCCAAAAACAACAGACATAACTATCATTTTTTTTAATTGTTGCATCATCTTATCTCTATGACTATGGCAACTTTTTTGAAAATTATTTTTATTGTACCTATATGATAATAATTGTAATTTCGTTATTTTTGATTGATATTTACAATGATTACAACTTAGTTTAAATCTTGTGATTTAGTATCGTAAAGATAGTATCTATGCAAAATCATTGCATTATTGCCGTTATGAAGTTAAACATGGCCACCATTGAACACAGGATATACTAAGTATAATTAGAAATTGTAAGTCCAGATTTCCTCACGTTTACCTTCACCGTATATCAGCGGTGTCTAAATAATCATAGAAAAAGAAAAAAAAAGGAAAAAAAAACAATTTCTTGTCAACTGTTTTAGCGAATTTATGTAAAGATTCTTAATATTATAATTTTGTCCGATTTATGGCAATAGACACTCCCTATTACATGGGGCACATCACATAGCTGAAAAGATATCATGTTAGCAAAAGACAGAGATCATATCAAACTGAACTCTCTTGAGTAGAAATGAAACAAAAAAAAAAAATACATATTAAATTATTTAATTATCAAAAATCCTATTCTTATAAAAATGCTTACAAATAAATACTGAAGTAAAACCTATAAAACGTACAACTATTAATAATACTAAATTCTCGTTACAAAATAGATACACATTGCTAAAAATATTATCACAATCGACTTTGATACTATAATTACAAATGAAAATTTAAATTATGATTAAAAAAATATGAATTATTGTCTTTAATTTTCATGAAAGAATTTGTTTATCAGTCCAGCAGAGCCGACGAGCAAACTTGTCGCCTGATGGTAGTTATGTAACACAGTTGCTGGTAATTTATAAGGTGTTAGCGATTTCTTGCTTTTAACTGTGCATTTCCTTATTACAGTACTGTGATGATTTTATGATGTATATGTCTACATGTAACTTGTACTATAAATTTAAATGGTCTAAAAATCCAACGCCGGAGGCTGTTATCATTTTATTTTTTATTGGTATTTTAACCTTACCGGGCATTTTTATATGCTAATATTAAAACGTAATTTCACTTTTTTAGTCGCTACTTGAGTTTTTTTGTTTCAAAACCTAACCGAATATTTTTATATCTAAGGATAATCCAACCATTTGCAATTTGGAAGCTGGTGACAATTTTTGGTGTACCGTTAATATTACTGACCTAAATAATATAGATAGTATTTAGTATATCTTATTAAACGTTATAGTTTTGAAACCCAAATTTATACAAATTGGATTCCCCAGTCATTGAATGCTGATAAGAAAAGATTTCAGGTGACTTTTTCATTCATAAAGATGATAAACAAAAATTTATCTGAGTGAATTGCAAGCAAAAATTACGCCACGATTTCTAATACGTTTTGTTGAACATTCAGCAATATGTTTTATCTAGGTCTATATATGTTTTAAGATAAAGATAGTACATGATTGATAGTGGAAGTTAATAATAAATTCGTAAAAGTAGGTATAATATGATGCTATCGATAACATTTGACGTCGTAGCCATGTAGTCAAATTTCGTAGCACATCCGCTACGAAGCGTAGCAGAATGTTAATTGGTTACGTGTTTCATTATTTAGCTTGCTTTTTTGCAACTCATGACTCGATAAGCTACGATTGCTTGTATTATATTAATTATAATGTATTTATTACAATGATCGTGCGTATAGCCAAAAGCAGATTAGATCAACAGGTGATGAAATTCCTTAGATTTATTTAATAAGCCGTATGATATTGCATAAAACCTTACAATAATTATTACGTACGAAACCGTATTTTAAACAACGACTCATAGTAATAATATAACTGTCTCTTCATGATGGTTTTGTCACCAAACAGTACATTTATGTTTTGGGTTCATTGGGGACCCAGGAGGACATTGGAACTCCCGGGCGAAGTCGTGTGAGTTGGATAACGTGCCGATGACTCGAAACCGGCCTGGCGAGTGAACCGCTGTCTTTAATTTGTTGCGCATCGCTTCTGGACGCATTGCACCACACCATACCTAGTAAAAGATATATTTAACAAGCTGAAATATTGGTTAGGTAATATACCTATCAGATGTTACGAGTAAAATGCTATTTCGGAAGCTTGTTTGTGTATGCCAAAAAATAATAATACTTAACACCAATTATAATAATAATGAATTGTACCATGGAGTTTCTTGCTCGCACTTCTTCATAGGAATCTACAATTTGGATCAAGCCAATACTTTCAATGAGGACAGACTGACAGACTGACACACAATGTTGAATTTTCCGATAAGAATTGATTTTGTTAGATGATCAAAAATGGCTGTAAAGGTGTATTCAAATAAAAATGATTTGACTTTCACTTTGAATAAATAGAAAATTATAGACTAATTTTTTATCATAAGATTTTTATATTGCAAGAAGTTCATATTGGAATTTTATGAAACGCTTTGTATAACACAATCTGTGAATACATAGGTGCTACGATCTATATTTGAATGCTGTATATATATATGTGTGTATACATAGGCGTATAACCTGAGCAAAGTTGAGGAAGAACAGCTGCGTGTGTGTGTGGTTGAGGCCTGGCAGCGTCTCGCCTTTCACTCCGTGTCGCTGCACCCAGTGCAGGTACGCCCGGAACGCTTGTTTCACGCCACCATTGTCGGCTATGTTCTCACCCTAATGAGAATATTAAACTTTCAATCCTGGTAATAAGAGACAAAATACAAGAACAATATATGCGCGAATGCTGTCCGCTGTCCACAGGGGATTTGATGAATCGAACTGAGTGTTTATAAACGAAATGTCATCTAACTTTTTGACAGTATATATTGTTTTTTCCATTCTTGATTCTTCTCATATTTAGATTACATAAGTATAGGGTTTAATTTAGCTTGGATTTCAACTTTGTGTTTTCGTTTTAACAACTACTTAGTTATAAAAACCTCACGAGTGAACCTCACGAATTTCATACTAGCCACTCTCGCGCCGTTTCACTCGCCGCTGCTCGGCTCGTTTCAATCATAGCGTGATGTTTTATAGCTTATAGCACTCAGGAACATTGTAGCTATCTATCAGTGAAAGAATTTTGGCAATCCTTTTACCTCTTTATAATACTAGTATAGATTAAACTTTAAAGTTGTGACAACTAAAACTTTATAAGAAGCATTTTTAACAACCTGTGTATTGACACCGTCTAGCTTCATATTGACTTCGGGTACCACGTATCTTCCATATTGGTCTATGAGGCACTGCGCACGTCGGTGGAAGGCCTCGATCGCAGAGTCCGACCACCAGCGGTGGAGGTTACCGTCACAGTCGAACAGACGACCCTTGTCGTCGAACCCGTGGGTTATCTCGTGACCTGCAGTAATTAAATGCATTTATTATGTTTATGCTTGTTCAATGGACAGGAGACAGGTAGTCTACTTTGCGTTCAAGGTAAGCTACAAAATTCTTAAGACTTTCTTAGTTAGTGTTTGGATATGGATGGATGTATGCAATAAAATATTTACATAGGTAATACAAAATTATTGATTGAAACACACATACAGCTCCCTTACTTTGGCTTAGCTGCATGCTGTCAATAATGTTACATAGTTGAATAAAACTATTTAACCAACTAAATAATGTATCAAAGAATCTTTATGTGACACTGATTTAAAAAGAGTAGCCATGGACTTTCTTGCTCGTTCTTCTCCATCGGAATCTACACTTTGAAACGAGCGAATAGCTTCACTAAGAGGACTGACCGACAGACTGACACTTTATATCTTTAAATTTTTGTTTGACGTTCAAAAGTGCCTGTATGGGTCTAATTGAAATAAATGATTTTCACTTTGACTTTAACATACCTATAGAATATTTTCAACATTACTTATTTTTATTACTTCATCAACATTATGTAATGCTAAACTATATTTATAAGGTACTGAACTACACGATATGTAATAGATCACGACTTACTACACGTAAATATACACGTATCTAGGAAAAAATATACACGTTGATACGTGTCAAACACCTACCTTTCAAGATCTTATGATTCAGTCGTCTCGTCATATATTTAACTTACCTATAACAACACCAATCCCGCCATAGTTCAGTGACCTCGGGAAATGTCGATGGTAAAACGGTGGTTGCAGGATGCCAGCTGGGAACATAATTTGGTTCTTGTTTCTGCTATAATAGGCGTTGACAACAGCCGGGGCAGTGTTCCACAGAGTTTTGTTTACTGGTTGTCCGATACTGAAATTAGATTTATATTGTTTCTTGAATACTTGTTTATAGATAGATCTGTACCATGGATGGATACCCTGAACCATGGATGTTTCTTACTAGTTGTTCTCCATTAGATTCTACACTTCGGAACGTAGCTTTACCGAGAGGACTTACCGACAGACTGACACTTCGTATCTTTAAGAGTTGTTTGACGCTGACGTTCAAAATTGCCGATTTAAATTTTAAGCCTTGTTTGACTTTGATAAACTTAACATCAAAAATAAAGATTAATGTTAAGATTGAAAATTACAATTAATTACAATTGGCACAGTGTCTGGGTAACTGGCTGCTGTGCAACGTGTCGCGGGTTCGATTCCCGCAACACTTTTTGGGATCTACAAATTGTTGTTTCGGGTTATTATTGGTGTTAATGCACCCACGATACCGGAGAAAATCCTAGTGTGGGGCAACGTTTTTTTTCCAAAGAAAAAAAATATGCAATTAAATATAATGTAATTGGTACAGGACTATTATGGTGAATTGCTTGAAGTGATGCCACGAATCTCTTTAGTTTTAGTTACATAGACACTCTAGTGTTATTAATACATTATCCGATTACAGCGATTGATAATACAAGTTGCTTCATAGAACTAGTATTGAAAGTTGCACAGACAAGAAATTTGATATGAATTGCAATCTGTAGGGATTTAGTTCGCTGATAATCATTGACTGTGTCACCGTTTCGGCAATAACAACCACGGAACGATTTCAAAATCATGATATAAGTTGAAAAAGATGGTCCGATTTGGTCTGATAATCTGTTGATAATGAAAGGATTTGATTGTTTGGTTAATAAATGAATGGAAATTAAAATGAAAAAGGTAATCGTCGATCCCGAAAAATATTAAGGAAAACTATTATTAAGAACATACAAAAATGTCAAACAAAAAGTGTAATTTTCACTCACCGAGCTTGCTCCATTTTAGTCAAGTGTTGAAGTATATTCAGAATATTCTCGAAATATTTGTCCGGGTGTATTCTCACCTCCTTATACCTATCATCCAATTCCTTCTTGTTCAGTATGAAGTCTGGGTACCCTATTCTGAGCATCATAGCATCAACTTTATGTGCAGCTAATTTTTTCGTCTTGTCATCAATCCAATCGGTCATATGGAGAAGTTCTCTGAACGACTGCTGTATTTCCCTCGTCATGTACAAAGTATCGTTCTTGCTCATTTCGTCGAAGTATTTCCTCACAAACATGGAGCCTAGGGCCATACCCATATTGGAATTGACTTGTGATACACAGTTCTTCCATCGCGGCGGTGCTTGCTCGCGTCCGAATAGAATGAAATAAAATCTGAAAACATATTGAGAGATTTATTTGCAAATGCACTTAGATAGGACAATATGTAAGCCCATCAAACTTTCTTCCCACCCACAAATCATTAAATACTCGAATGCTTATTTAAATTAAAGTGTAGGTAGAGCGCAATATTTTAATTATAAATATTTTCACTAAAATCATTTAATGAACTCACTGTTGCTTCGCAGACTGAAATCTGTCGTCGAGGTTGTTGACCCTGTGTCTCACAAATCTCCAGAGCAGGTAATTTGCTAAAGTGCTCGGTTCAGTCTCTTTTATCAATTTAACTAAATGCTGACAATGAAAACACGTTTATGTGAGTAAAGATTGTACAAATGTGTAGCTGGGCTCGCTTTAGTAGTTTAAACTTTTGTTCTAAATTCATACTGAATTGGATATAAACTTTTGATAAAAATAAAATACAAACAACACAGTTAGAGGACTGTTTATACCATAACGGAGCGAGGTAAAAAAAAAGTCGAAATACTAAAATTGTTGTTCCGAGTCTCAGCTTATTTTAATAAAATTAATTGTCACTTACCCTGACATAACAAAGTGCAAATAGTACAACAGTTTCATTGGGGTCTACGGTTCTGTTCATCACCACACACAAGTATCGTCTCCACTTTACTTGAGGAACCAGCTCTTCCAATTTTCGCAGTGGCATTCTACGGTACAGCTCCGATACATTTCTTCTGTCTTCTGGTGCTGAAGTAATCTTTGCTAGTCTGAGAATTTCACAGTTTTCGATAAGACAAGATCTAACTACTAATTGTTTAGATGTAGAAATAGGCAAAGCCATCCATTAACGCAGCTACTTACAACTTAATACTAACAAGAAAATGTGTTAACAGGAAACAATAGTTAATTAGAATTATGGTAATCTTACTTTATTTCAAATTCAATTAATTTATCCGCACTTATTTTAACGTGATCTGGATCACCTCCGAGCAGTATAGCAATTTTAATAAGATAGTTCTTGTAAGCATCCAAATATACTCGATTTGAACTTTGGAGGAAATAATCACGTGTTGGTAGTCCTGTAACAAAATATCTTTATTAATAAGTATATGATTAATAACAATAATATTACTTACAAAAAGGTAAATACTCTACCTAGGCTTGTTTGGTCAAACTGTATAACAAATTCATCGGAATTTTTGATATCAGGTCCAACCCATTCTGATATTAAAATATCATTATTGTATAATCTAAGTCTTGCCATTAGTTCTAGCCAGTCGAAACGACTAGCATTCCAATCTTGTTTGAGAATCGGCCATCCTCCAAGGAGATCTAATAGGTCCAACAGAGGTTGATGACCACGTTTTTGTAAAATCTCATAATTCATGCAAGATTTGAAGAGAAATCTTGCTTTCATTGCAGCATCGCCGTGCGCTGGATCATCGTTCTTCCGTATATTTGCCGGGAAAAGTGTTGGCGCTTCAACTTTACCTTCTGTTTGTGATGACTGAATGGTAGCTGTCTCAAGTTTAGGTTTCGTTGGATCTGTACTAGTTGATTCTACTTCGATTTCAATTCTCGAAGTCTTTGTTTTTGTTGTGCTCCATTCTTTAATCACTGTGGTTTCTCTTTCTTTTCGGACTTGAAGTCTGTTTCTATACGACATTAATCTTCTACCGTACCGTATTTCTTTGGATTTAATTAGGAAATTCCTTCTAAGCACCTTGGTTTTAGAATCATCCTCAGACTTGTTTGCTGATCTTTTTACTCTTTCCCTTTTGTGATTTTGTGCCATATATTTTCTGAATTTGGTTTTGAATTTTGAAATTGGTTTCATGACTTCTTTGGATTTTTTATCTAAATATCTTCGAATTCGGTTCACAATTTCCTCTTTTTCTTTATCGCTAGTATAGGAAGACTGATGAGTGTTGTTAAAGAAATCTTTTGGATGTGACTCCTCCACATCAAAATCCTCCGTGTGGGAATAAAAAGGCAATTTGGACCTTTTATGTACTGGGCTTAATTTAAGTAAAAAGTTATCCTCTAGATCTAAGTGAGACCCTGGATACTTGCAAGGTATTTTGTCCTTACTTTTGAATTCCAATAAATCTTTTAGGACAGTATCTAAATTTTCCCTGAGCATTTCAAATGTATCGTACCTAAAAAAATTGAATGTTTATAATTAATTTGCTCTTTTTACATACATTATGGTAACATGTAATAACGCACCCTGCTTTATCAGCTGGAATGGGATTGAGTGCAGCCCAGTTACCGCATGCGTACTGATAGAAGTCATGGCACGGGTCTGCCTCTGCGTCCATATATTGCTTCATTATCTTGGCCTGCGTATTTCTGATTTGGTCTCTGTCGCCTTGGCCCTTCCAAAAAGCGTGAATACCTGTAAGAAAATAAGGTATTGTTGAACTTCTGCTGTGCAGTTTTAACGTTCATTTTCCCATGTATAGTACACGAGACTGGCACACTGTTGTACGACTAACCTTGGCTCATTTTTGACAAGAGTCAATTGAATAATTCGTACTACAATGTACACACTATTATCGAATTGATTTGGCGCTCTATCCTACAATGGAACTGTATGTGAACAGGAGAACAAATTGTTTAATGGCTGTTTAGAGCTACCTGTCACGTGGGACTAGATTAAACTGATGCATTTGAACTCAACTGCTCAACCTAGGTATCTTTAACTCATAATTCTATAAACTCGCTTTTTCGTACATTCGTACTATTTAATATTATATTAATCATTTGGTTGACGGCTTACTCATGAAACTTATAGATCGTTCGAAGTGTCACGCATCAATATTCATATCAAATAACCCCTTGAGTTGCTAGAACCCAATTGTCAAATGTAAAAAATCAAATCATTAGGTAATTTCAAATAGACCACCATAGGCACTGTACTACATTTTTGACCATCAAACAAAATAATATACATGAAAATGTTCAACTTTGTGTGTCAGTTTGTCAGTCTGTCCTCTAGTGTAGCTATTTGCTCACTCCAAAGTGTAGTCAAAGTCAAAGTCAAAAATCATTTATTCCAATTAGACCATTACAGGCACTTTTGAACGTCAAACAAAAATTTTGAAGCTATATTGTCAGTCTGTCGGTCAGTCCTCTTAGTGAAGCTATTTGCTCGTTCCAAAGTGTAGATTCCGATGGAGAAGAACGAGCAAGAAACTCCATGGTTACTCTTTTTAAATCAGTTTCACATACAGATTCTTTTTACAAACAGTTGGTTCAATTATGTGAGAACAGTGTAACACTAATATTTAATCAAATATAAAAATAAAGTAACCTTAAGGACAATAGACAGTCCGGAGCTGACCAGTCCCAACTGACGGCGCTCGTTCACGAGCATGACACGTACACCAGCATCGCCCAACTCAACCATATTATAGGGAATTAAGCGATCCAGCGCCCATGCCACCGCCAGTGTGACCTTTCAGTGAGCATGACAACTCCAAGCTGTTATAAGGACCCACATTCTGCTAGTCTAACCAATTATAATAGGTTACAGGGCACTCACATTTACAAATTTATCAAGTTATAGTTATACAATGTAATGCAATTTCACTAAAATGAAGAAGTCCCGTTCAAGCAAAATCCACTGGAACGTTATTTATTTTGGTGTAGATTTGCTATCCTGTGGAGCAGGACCGGCATGTCTCCAAGCATCTTTATCTACAATGTAATCATTCAGTGTGTAGTATGCTTTTCTACATAAAGTTTTCTTTACACATAATTTAAAATTTCTTTCATTTAATTGTTGTATTTCGCCTGGGATTTAGATTGAGTTACCTCATTAAACAGCTACGTGAACAACCATATTTACTTTCATGTGCCTTACGAGACATCATCATCATATCAGCCATAGGACGTCCACTGCTGAACATAGGCCTCCTCCATTGACTTCCAGATAGGCCGGTTGGAAGCGAGCTGCATCCAGCGGCTTCCTGCGACCTTCTTACTAGACATATATGACAAAAATATAATCACCTGCATAAGACTGGGAAGGTTTGTAAATGTGTGCTGAGGAGATCATCTCGCCTTCCTCCAGTTCTGGTTGGCCACGGACTTGTTCCACGACATCATCCAGTGGCCCTCGGTCCACGTGCATGCCGGGATGGACTATGCTGTTCCATTAATATGAAAAAAAAAAACTCTTATTTCAGATATTATACTTTAGTACCTTAAAGGGATTATATTTCGACGCACGGTCGCGTCTACTTTACCAACGAATGGGGCAGTATTATCGGTAAGAACGTGTATCTATTTGATACGTGCATTGCGTTGCATAAGTAACGTTCTGTTTGTTCTACCTGGGTGATGCTTTCCCTCAAGCAAATTGAAGTATATTTAAGTAATAAAAAAAAAATGATAAATACTTATAACAGGGTACCTTTTTGTAGGTAACGCAATAATTTTCTGTTTTATTAATCTTAGCACTGATACAGTCAATATATCATTATATCATAAATTGAATATAGGTTACCAACAAACTTTTCGTACGCTAATGAAAGAGTTTTCGTTCGACTGCTTTTAAAGCGTTGTATAAAGATAGACTTTCTTTAAATAGATAACCTCAAAAAGCAACGGTTACATTTAAAATGTCTACCTAATAAAAAGGAAATTTTATGTTATTTCTTATTTCTTAGAAAATAACCACGAAATATCAGCTTACCTATCAATCTTATCATCCTCATCGTACTGGTCACTGGTGTCGTATTCTTCATCAACTTCACTCTCACTTACATTTCCTTCATCATCAGCCTCTCCTACTTCATCTTTATGTTTCAAATGTCTTTCTTGGCTAAAACGACAAGCTAATGAACTATGCAGCTATATATAAAGTACAATTAAGTATGTATTACATACAATCTAAACTTACTCATAATCTTGTGAGGTAAACGTGAAATGACTCATTCGTTTCACCCTTGTCGGCGTCCCATGCTGCTTGTTCGAAGACCCCCATATGAAAATATCACTCGTCACGTTTCCCTCATAAACTTCTCGTTTTGATTTGTCTTTAGAACGAGCAAGCACTATCTCTTCATGAGGCAGGAACGACGTGCGGAACCCTTGGAACACGTCTCTTTCTTCGGGATCAACGCCTTCTAACCTCGTATAGATTTTAGGTATATTCTTAACAGTATACTGATCAGAAGGATCGCCTAGAGATTCAATAGGTCTTTTAATTAAGAAGTATGTCACAGCTACAAGCGTAGCAAACGTTATAACAGACAGGAATCGACAGAAATTAGCACTTTTTGATCGCGATTTGACTGCTACCGTTTGTGTTGGGAACCGCGTCTCAACGCGCGTCATGGCAGCTTCTGACTGACAGACTGACAGAGCAACGGCGGAGATTTGTAACTGGAACATCATACGTAGGTATACGAACTGCGTAGTGGTCGTTGTAATCTTGACCCTGTTGTTGCAGTCGGCAAGTAAATTGCTTGCAATCAGCAACACAATTTATGCAGGCGAACTATATTTAGCGCAACCCAGATATATGAACTTTTTTATAGAGTTTGGTACTCATTGTTTGTATCTGGATACTGGCAGTAGGAGGTCGGGGAAGATGATAAAAAAGTCTAACTGACATTGACAGTTTAAGTGAGTAAAGTATTTATTTTTATAAACAAATTGGTGTTTTTTATTGTAAATAAAATTGAGTTGAAGAAAATGTATGACTACAGTAAAATGTCTAGAGCGACGTCCTTTGCAGAGCTGACGAAACAAGTGCACCTAATTAATGATCTGATCTTAGCGGATATGGCGTGTGGTACGTATATACCTGCCTACCTGCAATGCTATAACATGTTAATATCAACTAAACTCGAATTTTAGCTTCGTTTAAATAAACATGTATATTTAAATCTAGTGATTGTGTGATTAATACTTAGACGAAGGTTCTTCTATTGTAAATGTTTTACTATTTTAAATTACTTAGGTAAGTACTTCCTAATATTATAGTAGGTAAGTATTACAGTAACTTTCTTCGATTTAAAGAGCCAAAATCTGTGTCACTAAATGCAAAATTAGTACTTGTAAACGTAATAACAAAGTCCATATTCGTATTACAGAGGACGTGGACAATTCAAAAGCAGCGGTGACGTTCAGCAAGCATCTCTTAGCTACCAAGTACTGGTTTGCTCGCATATCCTACGCCAATAAGAAGCGGTATCTGCTCGCGTTACTACATGACATGCGCAGCGCGTGGGCACTATCGCTACTCCTCAAATCTATGTGGAACTGTCGGCCTAAGGATGCCGTCCAATCTGTTTGCGAGTTAGTTTAAACTTGTCTCACTTGGCTATGTACTTTTCATTTGATAGGTCGGCAAACGAGCTGCCTGCGAACGGTACGCAATCGGCGCCATACAGGGACACCTGTAAGACCAAAGAAGTCCAGTTCAGGCGTTGCCGGCCTGTTAATAATTGTGCTTTGTTAGATATTTCAGTTTTTCACACGATAAAACACAACGTAAGTATTGTTTCACGCCAATCTATACTACCTATACTAATGTTATAAAGAGGTAAAAATGTAGGGGCTAATCTTTGGAACTGCTGATCGGATTGCCAAAATTCTTGACTGATAAATAGCTACAATGTTACTGAGTGCTATAGGCTATAAAACATCACGCTACGATCAAGTGAAGCCAAGCAGTGGGTGAAACCGAGCGAGAGTAGCTAGTATGGTTTAAGGCCGACCGAGCCGGCCCATTCTTTACCACAACTTAATTGTAATGTATTATAACAGTTCCTTGATATACAGATAGATATAAAGTAGATACTAAGCTACGTTACTTAAAAACCATTCTGTGCTATCAAAACTAATTCCAGCAATTGTCACCTAGTCAAATAAAAAAACTACTACCTATTTTGCAAACGATCGCAAAATATAATATTTATTCTGGGGTTAAATTGGTGTTTTTACGTCAAATAGAAACCTATCTGCTTATTTCTGAATAAATAGCAAGAATAAGTATTGTTTCTTAAAATTTTTAAAGTGCGGGATAGCCATGCTTCGGCAAGAATGGGTTAGCTCGACGGAGTGATACCACGGCCTCACAGAAAACCGTCGTGAACCACCACACCATTGTGTTTCGCCGTGTGAGTGCGGTTACCGGAGGCCCAAGCCTTCCCCTGCCCTAATCCCTCCTCATTTCCAAAATCTCCAAATCCCTAATCCCCATAAGATCGGCAACGCATTCGTAACTCCTCCGTCGTTGCGGGTATCCATGGGCGGCGGTGATTGCTTACCATCAGGTTAAAGGATAGCTCGTTTGCCGACCTATTACATAAAAAAAAATATGAAGAGAGTATTATAAAAATATTTTTTTATAAATATTTTAATAATTCATTGTGCAGACGTCATGTGTATAGCAGCTTCGATCAAGTACCAATGGACCACAACAGGACCGCCCAACCTGGGCGTACTCTGGCACAAGTCATGAAAAGTGATCGCCTTTGGTTTCTTGCCCT